GCCCCTGGCCGGGGTTCAGCCAGTGTTCGGGAACCGGTCGGTGTGTGGGATCCGAACCCTCGATGGGAGCGCCGCCGCGCTTCCCAAGCGGCGCACTAGCGCAGTGCGCCACCGGGCCGGCCCCCCCAAACCTTATTTTTCTGCCTCCTCCCCATCCTTAAAGTCCAACACTTTAATGTTTGATTAGTACAGGCATGAACCAGCTTAATCGGTTAATCATTGATTAAATAATTAACTTTCTAGAGCCTTGCCTCTACTTGCTAGATTCTAAGGGGAATGCAGATATCAGGTAAGCAGGCTTTGGAGTTTTTTGCTCTCTTCACACCTTCGGTTTCACCACTGCCCTTCTTCATTTTCAGCACATGACCTCACAATTTTCTAGAGTAAGTAGAAGACATAACCTAGAAACCTCCTCAAGTTTCTGTCACCCTGTCTACACTTTATTTTTTATTTTTAACAGTGGTTCTCAAAGTAAGGTCCCAGGACCAGTAGCATCAGCATCAACTGGGAACTTGTTAGAGCTGCAGATTCTCAGACCAACCCCAAACCTACTGAATCAGCAACTCTGGGGGTAATGCTCAGCAATCTCTGTGTTAAGAAACCTTCCGAGTGATTCTGATGCGAATCCAATTATGAGAACCCCTGGTTCACGCACCTCCTTCCTTTTTCTTCTATCAGAGTGGAAAAAGAGCTGCTTCTTGCTCTTGCAGCTTGCCTTTTCTCTCCTTGAGCACAGTGAACTTGTGAACTTCTCTTATCTTGTACACAGACTTAGCTCATTCTTCAGCTTTAAAACCCACCCGCTCTTTCTTGCCTCCCATGTGCTACTCTCTCCTCTCTTCATAGCCACACTTTTTGAAGGTGTTGTTTCAAGTGCCTGTTGTCTGTGCTGTCCCAGTCTGCGGCAACTGGGGTCTGCGGCAACTGGGGTCTGCTTCTCTGCAGCTGCTTTCTTGGAGGACACCAGTGATTTCCTTGGTGTGAGGTCCAGTGGGCCTTTTCAGTTGCTAATCTTATTTAACCTATCTCTACCATCTGATACTGTGAGTCACTATCCCTCTCCTAAAAACACTCTTTTGTGCTTTATTTCCTTAACTCCACACTCTCATGAGAAGCCTGGCATGAGGCCGTGTTTTATAAGATTTAAAAACATGCAAAGCAATATCAGATACATTGTATGGGTACATATGTAGAATAAAAACCTGCATAGGTATGATAATATTTAGGGTAATGCTTATCTCTGGGGAAGGAGGAAGGTGATAGAGATTGGGGAAGTTGTACAGGGTTTTAACAGAATCTGAAGCATATATGGGCAAAGTTCTTTTTTTCTTCTTCCTGCTGGCTGGTATGGGGATCTATTCCCTTGACCTTGGTATTACAATACCAATTCTAACCAACTGAGCTAACTGGCAAGCCTGGGCAAAGTTCTTGACAAGGCTAGGTGGTTGGTATACGGGTATTCATTATACTGCTCTCCATGATTCTGTGTGAAATATTCTACAATAAAAGTAATCTAATACTTTAGTATGTAAATATTACATGCATTTTAGTATGTGAATACTAAAATATTTAGGTGAAATAATGCATTTGTTTCAAAATGGGAGTAGGGAGTAGGGTAGTTGGTAGGGATATAGGTAAAACAATTTATCTTGAGTTGGTAAATGTTTAGGCTGGTGATGGGTATATAGGGATTTTTTATACTCTTCTCTCTACTCATATATATTTGAAGTTTTATATTATAAAAAGTTTTCAAGTTTAATAGCTATGGTATTCAATATTTCAAAAATACATTAATATATAACATCCACTGTTGAATAGACCAGCATCCACTTTGTAGGATAGCTTTTCAAAAGTTGACATTTGTTTGTACCCAGAAAGAACTATTGTGCAGGCAGGGATTTTCATTTAACTTTTTTATTAAGGAAAAATTTAAACATAGACAAAAATATAAGGCAAGTGCAAGAGCCCCCATGTACCCATCAACCAACTCAACAGTTAAGACCATCTTGCCAGTCATATTCATTCAACCCAGAGTGGGTGGGGCAGTATTTTGAATCTGGAGCTCTGGCAGGCTGCCCAGGCGAAGATGTGCATTAGGTAGTTGGAAATGTGAGCTGGAACTCAGGTTAGAACTTTGGTGTTAGGATGGCCAGATTGCTCAGTTGGTTAAAATATGGTGCTGATAATGCCAAGGTCAAGGTGTTGACTAGCTGCCAAAAAAAAAAAAACCAACCCCAAAACAAAAACATTTGTGTCTGGGATCATCATTACTTTTTACTTTTGGAACCATATCCAATCCAGTTTGTGTTAATACCGTATTAGAATCTATTTGCATTTTTTGTCTGTGGTAAGAGTTTAGGAGTTTCCTTTGTGGTGGCAGGGGGAGTACCGTAAATTTGACAATAAGCTTACAGATAATTGAGGGTTGATACTATTTAGGTCACAGCCAGTCTAAATGAACAGCCCCTTTCTCTGCATATGTATGTACATGTAATTGTTTTTTTGTAGGTGTTTGAGGCTCAAGAATGTGAACGAATAAACGTCTTCCGGAATGCATTGTGGTTACATGTAAATCAGCTGTCACAACAATGTGTCACAAGTGATGATGTAAGTCAGAGGCAACCATGGAGGACTGTGGCTCTGCATATTGGATTCATTAGGGGAAGGAATTGTAAACATTTATTAATTTACCACTCCCACCTTATTTGAGGCCTAGAGAAGTAAAGTGACTTGCCCAAGGCCACACAGTGAGTTGATAGAAGGACCCAGATAAACTTGTAAACTGCCTGGTCCATTTTACCACCATGATTTTCTAATTAAGAAATTCAGAGTTAGGGCCGGAGAACAGAGAAGGGAACCCAAATGCAGTTTAATGTATGATGGAAGACAGAGATGTCACAGTGTGAATATGAATCCCAGAGACTGCTGCAGTCTGTAATGGGGTCATTCCAGGACAGTACTAAGTGCTAGCAGACTGGCCTATGTCCAGGCTGATGGTCATTCCAGGGCTCAGGGTTTTACTTCAATAGCATTCCCAGTGTCATTCACCAAGTTTAACTTATGCACAGCCAATAGCAGTGGGGTTCCCAGATTTCAGAGGCATGAAATCAAGTTATCACAACCTTCTTGCTAAGAAAATAACCACCCTCACTTAGATGGGACATTCACTTTAGAAGAACAAACACCCAGGGAACCAATAGGATTATATGGAAGAACTTTTCTTCAAGCTAAGTAATTGTCTTTGCATTTGTGTGTGGCATTGGTCTTATGTCATGGGACTTGGTATCTATTTTTTGGTCCCATCAGTATTTTACTCTGTTTTTTATTATTTATTTATTTATTTTGGTGGCTGACGAGTATGGAGATCCAAACACTTGACCTTGGTGTTATGACACCATGTGCTAACCAGTTGAGCTAATCTGCCAGCCTGGTCCCATAAGTATTTAAAAAATTTTTTGGCCAAGGTTTTTATCTTGCCATAGAGATACATTTCTTGTCATCTTAAAAAAAAATTAGTACCAGGTATGCATCAGAGAAAAATCTTTTATAAGAGTCTCAGACTAGGGAATATCTTCTTTTTCTTTTCAAAACAACAAGATTTGGAAAAATGTCAGCCATTCATCAAACCTCCTGTTTTAACGAGGCATGTCTCTATTGTCATTGACATACTTCTGCCTATAGGTTTATCTTCTTTTTGTTAGATGTATGAACAAGTTCGTAAGAGTTTAGAAATGTGCAGCATTGAGAAGGACATTGAATTCTTTGTGAATCAACGCAAGACTGGACAGACTCCACCAGGTGAGTGGAGCAGCTGGATAGGGAGGGTTACCTAAGCAATTCTGTTAGCCTTTCTTGTTAGATGTTGTTGAGGATAAAAGACATCTGCCTCAATATTTTGTGTCTTGATGACTCTTCTAGCACCCATCAAGTATGAGAATTTCTACTGCCCCCAGAAGAATGCAGCCTCACCAGGAAAGGCTAGTGGGCCTAACTTGGCAAGGTAAAAACCAGCTGCCTTTCATCTGGAGAAAAATACTTTTAACAAATGTTTTTATCATTAATGTTAAAAGACGTATTTGCTTAGTGAGGTTGCTAGCTTTTTGTAAATAGCATTTTTAAGGCAAATGTTAAATGGATTTTACTAGTCATAGTTCAAGGAGGACTATATTGTGCTTGAGTGTGATGATTATTTCTTATTTATGAATCCTATACCTTTTTTATAGCCTGTAGAAAGCCAGAGTCAGCAAACTATGGTTCCCTGTGAGTCAAATCTGATTGGCCTGTTTTTGTAGGATCTATGAGTTAAGAATAGTTTTTACATTTTTAAATAGCTGAAAAAAATCAAAAGGATACTATTTCATGATGTGAAAATTATACAAAATCAAATTTCATTGCTCCTATGTAAAGTTTTATCGGCACGCAACCACCCTTAGTGGGTTACGTTTTGTCTGTGGTTGCTTTCTCACTGGAGTTGAGTAGGGTTGCAGCAGAGACGGTATGTGGCCAGCACAACCTAAATCACTTTCTGTTTGGCCCTTTACAGAAAAAGTTTGCTACCCCTCATATAAAGGATCCTGAAGGAGAAGAAACTTCTATTTCACACAGAGTCGGCCTGAAGTTTAAGATGTTGAATTTTCAGTCCAGTTTTAGTAAATATGGGGATTTTTTGGGAAGGATTGAATAATCGTTATCGATATTTAAGAATGCCAGGCACTCCTCAAAACAGTTAATGAGGCTGGCTGGTTAGCTCAGTTGATTAGAGTGTGGTGCTAATAACCCCAAAGTTCAGGGTTTGATCCCTGCACTGGCCATGACCAGCCACCAAAAACCAAAAAAAGCCAAACAGTTAATGTGAATTAGCTGATTTAATCCTCACCATGGGTCAGGAGCTGTTTGTATTTCCTATTTTACATGTGAAGACGCCGGTGTACAAGGAGCTCAGGAAATGGTGCCCACAGAACTGAGATTTTAATTCTGCTGGTCTGGGGTGTGGGATCAGGGCTCTGTGCTCCTGATCACCATGCATCCTGCCTCTCAGCACAATGTAATGTCTGCAACTTAGATTTCAGTAGGTCAGTGCTGCAGTTCGTTTGCTTCATCAGAGCTTTCTTGACTCTCCAGTGCAGAAACCAGATCCGATCAGAGTATGATATGCTTGTAGCATGAAGTAGAAAATTACAAAAATGACAAAAACTTATCTTAAAGACTTTGGTTTCCATTTCTTACAGGAGAGGACCTCTCCCAATTCCTAAAAGTTTACCAGGTATGCCACCAAGAAAGACCTTTTGAAATTCTTATGTTAGATTTTCTTTAAAGTTGAATAGCTAGAATTTTGAAATAAGAGGAATGAAAGGATTAAATAAAATTAAATTCCTAAGAGAACAAGCCTATATTACAATCTTACTATAATAGCATTTGTTACAGAATGGAATTTGGTAATTGGTGGCGTATTTTATCATTATCAAAGAGAATTCAGTTACTGAAGCACCAAAAGAAAATTCTTATAAGGCAATCTCACCTAAGAGATTATTTCATCTTGGACTATGAGAATAGCAGAACTGAGATACGGTCCCCTTTGGATCATACAGAAATATAATTTATAGAAAGCATAGATGTCTAGAAACATGTAACTTAATATTATATGTTTTGTACACTGCCCATAGGAAATCTTTCACTAATCATACCGGTCTCTTTTTTCTCTGAACTCCTATGGTACCTCTGGGAGATCCACACATGCTAGCATTTTTTGTTAATTCTATTCCCTGGATAATTATAAGATCTTGAGGGCAGGCACTTTGTCTTCTCATGTATCCCACCTAGCCCATAGCAGGTATTCAACAGATATTTATTTGAGTTAAAAATATATATATACCTGTCTACATTCAGGGGAATGAGAAAAGATGACAACTTATGTTGCATTTAGCAGCTCTGTAAAAATTTAGTGACTGAAGAAAAATGTAGTGGTTGAAATTATATCTTTGAACTATATGAGGATATAAGTTATTTTATTTATTGTTGTTTTATAATTACCACATGATAATATGGGACATTATTTTTGTCCATTTTTAAAGATGATTTCACTGTGGATACTGCTATCTGGGCATGGATGAAAGAGAGCAAAGAAGTCCTAATAATGACTTCCAGAGTGTTCTCTGGTTTGTAGTCATGACTACCATTTATAAGTTTTGTTGCCAGATATACTTTTTTCTTACAAAAGGGTACTCACCAAAATCTCTAAGTGGAATGCCTTGTTTGAAAAGAGCTAAGATTTTATCATGAAAATATATGATTTTAATGTTGTTCTATGTTCTACCCTTTGCAGATGACCCTGATTATTCTTTGATTGGTAACTTTTTTCTTACAAAAGGGTACTCACCAAAATCTCTAAGTGGAATGCCTTGTTTGAAAAGAGCTAAGATTTTATCATGAAAATATATTATTTTAATGTTGTTCTATGTTCTACCCTTTGCAGATGACCCTGATTATTCTTTGATTGGTAACTATAGTTTGCTCTATCAGTAACATTAATGGTAAGAACCTTTCATATTTTTTTTACATAATCAAGGTGCATTTAGACTTGTGATAGTTTTTTTTAAAGCCTTTGAAGCTTCTTTATAATACCACTACAAACAAGCCAGGCCTTGGATCACCACTGGCCGGTGTGACATCTCTTCAGGGTGGCCTCTCTGAATCCTACAACTGGAAACAGACTGGAGACTATTCCACACCTATTTGAATGAGGGTATTTTCCCTTCATTGATTATTTCAAAAGTTTTCTGGGGGGGTTTTGGCAGCTGGTTGGTAAAGGGATCCAAACTCTTAACTTTAGCGTTATCAGCACCACGCTGTAACCAAGTGAACTAACTGGCCAGTCTTCCATAACTTTTTATCTGCTCTTGTTAAGCTCTTTTGTAACTATTACACACCTATACTGCAGGCCATGCTCACAAACAAAACACACATGACCCTCACTGTTTAAGTAATTCAGCTTTTAGTATATTCCCCTATGCCCTAAAAGGGGGAAGTCAAGTAAAAAGAACTCATTGAAAACAGTGCAAATGATATGACACTCACCATACATGCAAGGGCATCATAGGGGTCATTCTGCACCAGATTATTAATGCTCTGACCTAGCAAACCACAAGGATTCTTAGCAGAGAACTGAGAAGAAGACTAAGCCAATCGCAGCTGCAAAGATGATCGCATGGTGGCTCTTCTTTGACACTCAGGGGTTTACACCATATCCCAAATCAAAATCAGTCTTCATGAATGTGAAGGCATGCCTCAGAAGCCAAAGTAGCAATACTAAATGCAACTTCTTGTAAAGTATAATTACTTTAACCCAAACGGGCTTGTTTTGGAGTCTACGTAATAACTTCGTATAGCATACATTATACGAAGTTATACTAGATTTTTTTCACCATTTCTTCAAAACTTGGCTCATGTATTCTTTATAGCCAGGTTGCCTCTTTCTTAGAAACTCTGATCTGGGCCTGAGTCTTTTCATCAAACTGCACCCCATGCAATTCTATATTTCTGACCAGTCTCCTCTGAGTGGTCCTTTGCTGATTGGGGTGCCAGTTAGCTGTCCTTGCTGTACTCCAGTGTTCACCCGATGGGCCCATCTCCCCCACTGCCCGTGCTCCAAACACTTCCCATGGGACAGGCCATGCACTGGTCCCTTGTGATGACTCACCGGCCTCTGAGTGGCTCTTTTTTTTCAGTTGTTGTGGCTCCTCTCTCCTATGTGGGTCCATGTGAACCGTATTAGTGGTCTTGCTGGCCTGGGGGCCACCAAGGTCCTCTTCTCCCCTGCTGCCTCCAAGCAACTCCATCTGAAGGACATAGCTGTGGCTTCTGCCAGCTCCTGCTCTGTGCATTCAGCAGCGCCAGCCTTAAAGTGGCCATGGAATGAAATGGTCAGAGTGGTTTTTTATTTCTTTCATTGTGGCTTCTCCTGCCTTCATGCACTCCATAGGTCTCTCCTCCTCTTCCCCTGAGCTCTAGAGGCCCCGGCTTTGTTGTTGTTGCTTTTTTATGGTTGTAAATTGGTCAACTTGTGGGAGAGAGTGACGCTGGGGACTGTCTATTCCCCCATCTTGACTGGAAGCCTCCAAGGTGTCTTAAGTAGATAGAAACAATCAGCTATTATCAATTTATATTTAAACTGCTTAAATTGCTTAAGAGATATATCTAATATTTAAGCAACTTTGCTGTTAAAGATACAAAAATTGACATAAAATACCCCATTATCTAGCTATAGATAACTTTCTGACCTACATAAATTGTAGTCTTAACAACCAGTCATTGTTTCTTCTTCATTTCATAAGCCTCCCTCTTTCTCACGGAAAGGGGCAAAGCCCTAATTAGAGGAAGAACAGGAACATGGTAAATCTATGACTTGGGATTCAGAGGTGAAATTTGCTCTCTGGAATACCGTGTATAGATGATGGTGATAGGGCAGGTCGTAGGCAGTCCCAGTGTTTCTTTTTATTTTTTACCTCCTTCTTTCCTGTTTTTATCTGTTTGGATAAAGCATAAATTCTAGTGGCTTAATAGTAGCATTTGGCTTAGCAACTCTTATTCCTCAGAGTCTAAGAATCTGATGTTTGAATGCAAGACATTAGTGCTGACATATTTAGTTGAATTATATCTCTTGAGTTATAATATTTTATTAGGGTTCATTTGTGTCTGTGCCAGCTTAGTGAATAGAGACTCCACATATACGTGTATAATTGACTGAATGTCAGAGAATTTTAAAAAAGGGAGCTTAGCTTAGTTAATAACTCAGTTAAGCAATTTATTACAACATTTATCATCATTGGAATGAACCTTGGGAATTAAAATTTAACAGGAAGATTTAGGAATTTGCAATTTGTTCTGCAATTGTTGATTTTAGCTGTTATTCCTGTTTTAAATTCTAACATGTTTAGGTAAAGACAGTATAATTTTCGAATTTAAAAATATGTATATGGGCTGGCTGGTTAGCTCACTTGGGAGAGAGTATGGTGCTGATAACACCATGGTCAAGGATTTGGATCCCTGTACTGGCTAGCCACCAAAATATATATGTGTGTGTGTGTGAAAAATATAAACACATGTATTATTTACCATAAAGCAATGCTATTATCATCCCATACCATTTTTCATAGCTTGCAATACCCATTCCTCACCATTTGTTTTCCTTAGCCAAACACACTCTCAAGGTAGGAGCCGGTGCTGATATGCATGGTTCATTCAAATGAAATTTTTTTTGTTATTTTCTTTCAGAAAACAAAGAATTTTCTGCTAGTGCTTCTACAGCATGGAAAGAAGCACCCAGAGCAGCAGAATCTATAGCCAAAATTTATATCAATCTTGAAGACTTTGAAGTGAACCTTTGCTGTAATTTTTTGATATTTTAAATTTGTGGTAGACATTTAGTACAACTTAAGCTGGTAGAGTTCTGAAGCTTTTGGACAAAGTTTACAAATTATCCCAGACTGAAGAAATATTTTTTCCCAGTCAGTTACTAAAGTTGTGAATGAATCGTATTTTCTACTTGGGAAGCAAGAAAGTGCCCGGACTTGGAGTGTTGACTCTAGAGAGGGCAGAGGTGGCTGCAGAGGAGTCTGAGTCATCAACTGCAGAATTTCCACAGTGACACACACACTCAGTGGTGCAAGATTTAAAATGACCTTCCTTTTTGGCTGGAAGACTTAGAAGCCATCCGATTGCACTTTCTTATTTTACAGAAGAGGAAACAAGGCCCAGAAGTATGAAATCAGTTGCCTTACAGTTCTGCCGTCCAATCATGGACAGAACCAGAACTACAGCGTGAACTCATTCCTCACCAGCATCTTTCTAACCCTTCCTGAGGCTGAGATGCTCATGCTGAAATTTAAGACACCAAATATTTTTGCCAGCCTTTTTTCAGTTGGGAAAGTTACCAGGGTTTAAATGTCAGATTTATTTTTATGTGGATCACTGTGTGTACTGAACTACAGAGCACAATATTTAATCTAATTTAAGAAGCAATCAATTGTTACTTTATGTGCTACTAAGAATGTGGGGTGGGGGAGTTGCCAGTTAACTTGCGACAGGCCGCTGATGGCCAAGCCCCTTTGAATTTGTGATTTGAAAGTGTGAAAAAAAGGACATCCTAGAATCAGTGGAATAGGGTATTTTGACTCTGTTCCTCAAAAATCTTTAAAGTGGCAATCTTACTCTTTTACAAATATTTGCATCTTCCTCTGTCACTCACAAACAGCGGGGAGGTTATGCACATTTTGCACAACATTTGGACACTGTGACAATATGCTACATTTTAGTTAATGACAAGTTAAAACAGCACTGCCACTTTTTGGGCATGTAAATTTCTATGCTACCACAAAGAGTAAATATTTTCCTTTCCTGCTCTGTGCAATGGCATTCCCAGAACTATAGACAAATTGATTGAAAGAAGGTTGATTATTTTCCCTACTTTTCATGTAAGATGCCACTGAATGTGGCAGCTTCTTGTCAGGACAGGAAACTTGCATCAATTAGATATCCTTTTAAGAAATTCAAGTTTGCAAAGGGCCAAACTTCCCCAAACCAAACGGGCTCAGGAAATTTTCCTTTGCACTCAGAACATTCTATTTTTAAGTATATTATTTATTGTTGGCAGTTCCTCAGGGATTTCACTTTTCTCTCTGTTGGTCGGTGTAATTGATGTAGAAGTGTTTCATGAATGGAAAATACTAATATTTTTATTTCACTGCTCTTTCAGTTTGATATAAAGTAAAATAAAGGTTCTTGGTGATTTGGGATTTATTTTGTATTTTTGTGTTAACCGTATCTCTCTTCAAAGCTTTGTTTGACCCCTTGTCACATTGGCCATTGTCAGACTACAAAAAGACAAACTGCTGATGGGAGGCCACGTGGAGAGGTGCTGTACCACTTCCTTCTCATCCTTCAGGTGTCAATTACAGTGTTACTTCCTCTGAGAGCCACTGTCCCTGCCTCCATACTAGGTTGGATCCCACTACTGTATCCTTCTTAGCCATTCCCTTTTCCTTGTTATTACATGATTCGCTCTTGGAATTGTTTAAGGTCTGTCTTGCCTCCCAGACTGTTACCTCCAGGAGAGCAGGGCCTTTTATCCTTTTTTGTGCTGCATCCCCAGCACCTGATACATATAAATATTAAAGAATTAGTGGCCTATTAAAGAAAACATAGCTAGAGAAGCAACTACTTGAAAGAAAAATAAGGAGTGTAACAGAAGGCAAAACAGGTCAGCTGGGAGAGCGTTAGACTCGAGGAGTGTAACTAGAGTGAAGCCAGTCAAATAAGGACACATGTTAAATTTAGTAAATGTAAGCTACTCTACAGACTGTCGGTGTATTCATTTGGGCTCCACGAGAAGCAGACCCTGACATAAGGATTTGAGTGCAACTGCTTTTTCCGGGGGGTGATCCCAGAAGGCATTGGAATGGAAGTGGGGAATTGAAGGGAAAGGAAGGACGGCAGAAAAAGTGTGCATTACCAAGCAAGCTATACTGTGGGCAACTGGAGCTTAACCCTGCTGGGGGTTGATAGCTCACCTGATGGGCAAGGGAGCTGGGGTGTCAACAAACTCCGGTCAGTCACGGGGTGAGAGCTGTTTCTGGGAGACATTAATTTCCCAACACTTCCTGCTGCCTTGAAGGCTGGCAGAGTGAGTTTCAGCAGTCTGAGAAAGTCCTCGGGCAGGGACAGAGTTCCTGGCAATTGGAAGTTGGGCTGGAGTTTGAGGAAAAGGTAGGTACTGAGCGAATGTGCTTGGGGTACTGACAGTGTTTGATCCCCCCACAGCTTAGATCCACCTGTGCCCACATTAATTTTACACCATCGTCCTGTTACTACTTCAAGTCCCAACTTAGACACATACACACACACACACACACACACACGAAACAGAAAGTTTTGTAGGACAAACTATAGTCCCTGTTGCTACAGATGGTCCTAAGTCCATAACTGATATTTGTTATCTCCTTCCTCTACCACCCTGTTATGGGTGCCCCACCGCCCCTCCGTCCCCCCTAAATTCATATGTTGAAGTCCAAACCCCAAGTACTTCAGACAATGACCATGTTTGGAGACAAGGTCTTTAAAGAGGTGATTAAGTCAAAGTGAGGCTCCACCTTTCAACTGCCATAATAGGATTTCCCACCCTCTTAACAAGTCTCAGTTGGGGGCCACGTTTCTAATATGTAAAACTTGGGGGGACACAATTCAAGCATCACAATTCAAGGAGTTTTGGGTGGACATAATTCAATCCACTACACCTTGTAGTTTTAGTAGAACCCTTTCTATGTCCCCTGGTAGATGTATCCCTCCTGCAACCTCCTAGAGCCAGGAGCTCTAGTACAACAGAACCTGAGGTTGAAGGGATGGGATCACAAATTCTCACTGTGGGTCAATGGGAGCTATGGTGACAGAGGCCACTCTTACCTCTTGGTTCCAACTTGTGTTTCCTACCTATTAAAGACATAACATACAGTACCATATTGTAGCTATACAAGCACCATACACTGCCTCATCTCTAAGGCCAGCACCCCAACCCTGCAAGGTATCATTCTCAAGCTGCTGCACCTTTAAGCAGCCATCCTGACATTCAATCAGGACAGCGGCTTCTAGGTGACATAGTATACAGCAGACAAAGGGGAGCCCATGCACATTCGTGCATTGTCATTCCAGCTTCCCTGTGAAGTGAATCTCTTGGTGTAAGGCTGCATTCTCAGTGGAGCAGTATTGCCCCCAAGAGGGTGAAATTTGGTTCTTAATGGGCAAAACAAACCTTACTCTTTTTATGTATAAAGCTCTGATATACAGACAATGCTTAGACAGGGATTCAGTTTATCTGTGGTATTAAAATTCATGGGGACGGGGGCGGGGGAAGAAGATATAACAACTACAATTACTTGAAGTTGATACGACAAGCAAACAGAAAGGACATTGTTGGGTGGGAGGGGGGAGAGGGAGGAGGGAGGGAGGTTTTGGTAAGGGGCAACAATAATCAACCACAATGTATATCGACAAAATAAAATTAAAAAAAAAATTCATGGGGATGGCAATTAGGGAAAAAATGTTCCAAAATTCTCCTGGGAGTGATAATGAAAAACCATTTGAGAAACCTGGGTCTAAGGTAATGTTATGGGGAATTCCATAATGACACATCAGACACTGGGATAGTGGTGCTGGCTGAGGCACTGCAGGCAGAAAAGCAAACTCATTGTTGGAGTTATTCCCTGTCAAGAAGAATCTCTGCCCCTTCCAGGGTGGAAGAGGTTTAATGGAATCAGTTTGCCAGCGAGTGGCTAGATGGTCTCCTTGAGGGATGGTGATATATTTAGGGTTCACCCTCGGTCTCTGTGCTGATTGGTCTGACACTCAGTGGTAGTTGCTAGATCAAGCTTGGCGAGTGGAGGATCCCTGTGTAGCCTCCATCCCTGCCACTGTGGCTGTTCTGTTCATGGTGCCACTAAGAAAGCATTGTGGTGGCCAAAGACAGAGGCTGGCTGGCTGAGTCATGCTAGCCACCTTGTATTCTGCACCTTTTCTGTGATGGACACTGTCTTGTGGGCATTCATTGGAGACACAAAGATTTGTATTTTGTTGCCCATTCCCTATGGTCCACCCACATGTTTCTTCCTAGACCTCTGTCTTTGGTCTTCTTATTTTCTTCCCTGACCAACCAATCAAGTCATGCAGCACTGCCCAGGAGTCAATGTATATGTTTACCTTGGGCTACGTCTCCCTTCACAATGAGTTGATGACCACCTAGATTGCTTGTCACACTGCCCATTGGGAGTATCTCTCTTCAACACTGTTTTCACAGTCACTCCCAAATGGGGCTGTGGTGTGGTGGCAGTCCACACACAGACTAACAACAACTAACGTGTAGAACTGACCTATTCTTGAACCAGGCCTGAGGTTTTTTTCTTCTCCATCAACTGGGCTGAAGAAAACCTTCTATGAGGCCACAAGTATGAGCTGAGGGAGAGGCACAGGTGAACCAGAGGGTGACTGAGGTGTCTGCATTACCCGTTTGGGTCATACACCTGTGTGTTCTGCATTTGCTCAGGCCTGATCCAGAATGTACCATTTCCATCGCATGATGGATTGCTGACATGCCTGCCCAACTTATGACTCAGGGGATCTGAAGAAAGCTAAAATAACTTAGAAGTAACATGTCTTTTCATATTCATGTTTCCTTTATAATTTTACAAAATGTATCTCTTTAAATGCTGCCATAGTGGCTTTCTGGCTTTCTCACTATTCCAAGTGACCTGAGCTTGTGATTTTCTTCAGTGAATCCACAGCAGTTGATAACCAGTGTACTCTGTAGTCTTTAGAAATACCTTTGCCTCCACATCTTTCAAATGCTAGTGAGGTTGCATAAGCTCTTCCACCTGCATTCCACCCCAGTTCACCACAGGTGAGGCCTTGGTAATTGTGAGGCTGCAGCAGACGTTATCACCATTCCGTTTCCAGTGAGACCCTTGTCCTCTGGCTGGGTAAGAATTAATTCCAGAATCCCATCCTGACCATCTACTTCTGCGTACCATTTCTGATACCAATGGTCTTAGTTTGAGAGCCCCCAGAAGGAGGCCCTAAGACAAGAATTTGAGATTAAGCAGTTTATTTGGGAAGTGAACCCAGAAAGTACCAATAGTGACACGGGAAGTGAGAAATGGAAGAGGAGGAAGTGAATAAAGAGTATGTCTTTAAGAAAATTCCTGCCGTGGGAAAATGGGGCTTAACTTCCCTGGAGGGCTCTGGGAAACAGCACAGAACACATCCCTCAGTCCACCCATGGGGTAAGGGAACTGGGTGTTTGTATTACTTTCTAGAACTGCTGTAACAAGTTACCATAAACAGGGTAAGCAACTGAAATTTATTGTCTCACAGTTTGGAGGCTGGAAGTGCACAAAAGGTTTCAGCAGAGCTGATTCCCTCTGAGGCCTGCGAGGGAAAGATCTGTTCCAGGCCTTTCTCCTTGAACTGTAGATGGATACCTTTTCCTGTCTCTTCACATTGTCTTCCCTGTAAGCATGTCTCTGTGTCCAAGCCCCTGCCCATTCTTTTTTTTTTTTTAGCTTCAGTGGCTTTTTATTACAGAAAAAAAAAAAAAAGAGATACATTGTAGAAAAGAGGGAAAACAAAGAGAAGTTAAAATGAAAAAATGCAAATAATCACTCCACCTGGAGATAGCCATATCTGTGATTTTTTTATCTACATGTATGCACAGATGTATTTTAAACAAAAAAGGGATTTTAGTGTGCATAATATTTTGCCACTTGCTTTTTCACTTGAGTATGTCTACTGGGTCATAACAAATTACACCATATCTTAGCAGTTTAGGGCAACAAACATTTATTATCCCACATTGTCTCAAATTCCCCCTTTTTATGAGGACAACAGCTATATTGGATTAGGGTCCACCCTCATGACCTTATTTTAACTTGATTACCTCTATAAAGACCATATCACCTACTAAGGTCAGATTCTGAGTTACCGGGATTTTGGACTTCAACATAAGAGTTTTTTGGGGGACACGATTCAATCCATAACTGTATTTATCTGCCAACTCCCATCTGTCACTGGTTGAGGGTTGCTCTCGGTTTGGGGCAGTGTGTTATTTTCCTGGCACCTTCAGCCTGTCATATACTAATTGTTGGAATTTGGGCCTGCACACTCAGTAATGGTAAGTGCCTGGGATACGAGCGGGGCACCAGCAGTTCTGATGCTTTGGGGCTGCAAATAATTATTTCTATGGTGCATTTAA